TTACTGCTGCTCTGAAAATAAAAGTAACAGCATAAAATGTGGGCAACTATTCTATATTATAAAATTTTAAATTATTATATTATGGATATATTTATAAAGCTATTATTTAAGATGATCTTTATAATTATTTGATCCAATTCTCCTATGAATTCTGAATATAGGGATTCATATCTCCTCCAGCCACAGATCTATCTGTAGGACACTACCACTAATTTTTCTCTCTCTGATCTCATGTTATCTTTTTGATAACTTGTAAGTGGCTGCATAATCTTTTTGGTAACTTTTCTTTGTCTGTCTTCCACTGATCTCTCCAACTAAGGGTGGGAAGCTCTCCAGGACTATTACAGGTGTTCAGGAAATAATTGCTAAATTGATTGATGTGATGGTCATTCTCTTTGTCCTTCTCTAAATTGAAATTTCTGGAGCTGTTCAGAGGGATAAGAGTGCCCCAATGGTTTTACTAAAAGAAACAAATAAAACAATGAGGTCAATGGGCCTGGCAGAAGTCCTCACCAGACAGTAATGTTTTGCTTTTGGTTTCCTTCTCTTTTAGTGTGGCATCACCAATGGTAAGGAAAAACATAATACTTTTTAAGTCAGACACATTCAGCTCTATTTTTTCTTAGTTTAAGAATTCATCTACTTGAAATTGTGCATTAAGTCAGATAAAGGACTCATTTTATGCTCTATGACATAGTCTACACTCAAATCAGGTTGTAATCCTGAAGATCAAATAGAGACAGAACAAAAGGCATCACACAGGCTCCCTGTTCTTCGATGTGTGATTTGAACTTCCATGACCCTCCAGAAGGAAGAGAGGTCATAACCTGTTCTGTGTTTTCCATGCATTTCTTCACTACTTTGGGCTACATTACAGGTTTGTGGTTTGTCTTTGTTCTCACTCTGTGCTGGGGGGATGCAGAGGGCTGGACCCAGAACAGATGTTGCCCTTATTCTCATTCCCCCAAAGTGAAACTACTGTACCTCCACAAGTCATGCTGGTTTTCTCAGTCATTTGAATCACTTAATGGATAAAATATCCATAGCTTCATAAACAGTCTTACACAAATGCCCCCATTTTCACTTGGCTTTCTTCCTGTTAATCTGGGCAGATTCTGTTTCTCTTTTCAATTTCAAGAAACAAGCTGACTTTAATGTTCAGTTTAGGGATTTTGCCCCAGGCAGAAAACACTTGTCTCAAGTGTGTCTTTGAGTGAACAGATAGTATTCTCTGTTCTTTCCTTCACTATAACTGATAAACATCAGAGAATCTCTGAAATGAAAACACACTTTCAAACTTGGACAAAGACGGTGCCTTTCTACCCAAAAGATAAAGAAGCAGTGTTTGAAATGATGATGATTATTTATCTTATCTAATTTAATATGTAAAAATCTAGAAATGGTGATATTTGAGTCAACAAGTTGTTCTGTCAGTCTCTATTTGTAAGACCTAATAATATTAGAAGGCTGGAGCAATAAGCTGTCTCCTGATTAGGTTCCTGCACAACATATCCTGAGTTCAAATTTCCTGATGTTCCCTTCCCCCAGTGTCCTCTATTATGTTAAATGAACTCCTTGATTAAGCTGAGGTGATTTAAAAGTCTCCCATGTGCCATGTCCAATGGGACAATGAGAAGATATCATGACGTCTCTTTCCCCAGTGGTTTGTACAAGGAAAGAATCGTCCACTCAGATATCACATTGTTTCTGGTAGGAATAAAGTAACAACCTGATGTCAAATGCTACTTAAAATCATATATTCATCTACAAGCCCTTTATAGCTGAATTGCAATATCTTCCTAATTAAATAATATTTCCCTTTAACATTTTATTTCATGCTGAAGTATGACAGTACTTTATGCACTAGTATGCAGAAATTCCAATGGAGTTTATTCATCACCTGTAGGCCACTATATCTGTACCAATACAAAAACTTCCAGTCTCCTGAAGGAGGTTGTGACAAGAGACCATGCCATTCTCCTGACCTGGAATCTCATCTCATTTACTTTACATTCTTTTAATTTGTTATGGCTCTGAATGGATTGCAGATTCATCCTTTGTGTAATCATCTTGTTTCCAACTTCCTCAGGTTTAGAATTAAGTTATCTAACAGGTCACAGTCCTTCTGCATCTTGATCAGTTGGTGTTCAGGCAGACTATGTAACCTTTCATAATGATCCACTTACATTTAGTAGTTACTGCATCTACCATCTACCTTGTTTATTACCCCATTTTTAAAAAAGTTTTTTCTTTATTTATTTTAGAGAAAGAGCAAGAAGGAGGGAGAGAAATAGAAATATCTATGAGACAACATCAATTTACCTCCTCCTGCATGCCCCTCACTGGGGATTTGGCCCACAACCTGAGCATGTATCCTGATTAGGAGTTGAATTGGCAACCTCTTGGCGCATGGACCTATGCTCAAAGACACCGGCCAGGCTATCATCCCATATTTAATTCACCTAGTTCAATTGCTCTGAGGGTTTCTCATATACCTTACTCTTATGTTTCCTTTCTTTTCAACAGTCCTAACATTTTCACCATCACTCAGCCATGTGTAGGAAAGGTGAGCAAAGAGATCCACAGTAACTTTCCTCAGGTCATCTTCTTGTTGAACAAAACAGTTACATATGAAGCATAAACAGCTGGAGGCCTTTGATAACATCACCTGTCAGTACCCAAGGAAAGGCATCAAATTAGAAAAACCTTTAGTATTTTTATAAGACCAACCAAAATTTGCTTGTAATATCTATGTTAAGAATCTCAGAAGTATGCCATTTACTACTCTTTTTTTCCAGGTATGATTTTTTATTTTTAATTCCTCACCCAAGGATACTCTTTCTAATTAGCATTAGCTAGAGTGAGAGTAAGGGAGAGAGAGATAGAGAGAAACATCAATGCATTAATGATACATAGACTGGCTGCCTCCTGCACGACCAGACCAAGGCTGGGGACTAACCGCAACCCAGGTTACAAGCCCTTGACTGGAATCAAACCCAGGACTCATTGGTCCATGGGCTGATGCTCTATCCACTGAGCCAAACCAGCCAGGGTAGCGGGTATGTTTTATATACTCTTGTCTTTAACAAATTAACAGATTGTGAAATTTCTCCTCTATCCATAGTTGTGCAGAATCTTCAGCTACCGGAGGGTTCTGAATAAGAACAAATATGCCCTTTTCTTCATCAGCATCTAATGCAAGGGAAATAGCAACTTGATCTCCCATGTTCAAAATTTATTTCAAAAAGGTGTCTGGCAGAGTTGACAATGGTGATCCATAGGGTGGCTTAACTTAAAAAATAGTATACAGCTGTAAAATGAAATGTACTTGAGCTACTTGCAAACATATGGCACATTCAAAAGGAGTAATTAAAGAAAAGTTAGTGAAAGGAGCACTTATAAAGGTAGGGTCAAAGAGATGGTGAGGCACCATGGGCTAGAAAGAGCAGAAAGAAAACTCTCAAATACCCGTCTTTCAGGAAAAGTTCACTGATAGCGTGAGGTGGCCAAAGAGGGGACCAGAAAGACAAATATTCGGATCCTCCCCAATTCCCTCTTCCCTGCCATTCACCTGCAAAAAACTTTTCATTGGCCAAACTCAACCTTCGGAAGGCAAGGAAGCCTAGTGGTTTGGAACTACTAAGATTAACTTCATGGTTTATGATGCAGTGTTTTCATGGTGTACGATGCAGTGTTAAGTGTAGAAAGTTGAGAGTGATCCTGAAGAGACAAAAGGAATTGTCCAACATTACTATGTTTCTTTAAAAATTACCATCCAGGTTAAATGAAAGTATGTTTGTGACAGTCAACCAGACCTATGGTACCTATCTTACTATCTAATTTAATCTCCTTCCAGGCCCCAACACAACCTGTGCTCTTACCATATCTATGGACAGCTAATTCCTCAGAGTGTTCACACTCTTCCTCCTGCTTGAATTTGTTTTTTTCCCTTGGTTGATAGTTCTCATTCTTCTAGATTGGGCTCAGGCTTCATCTCCCTTATCTTAAAAGCATTTCCTGATGGTTTTTCCCAACCTAGGCTAAGTTAAGCCTTACTCCATCTGATTCTTATATTTTTCTTTAATTACTTCAATGATAGCAAATCTTATAGTTTGTGGTGGACAATAATATTTACTTCTTCCTCTCAAGCAGTCTTTGAATAAACATAGGAAATTTGAGGAGTTTCAGTGCTAATCAAGGTAGAAGGCATGACTACAAGAAGGCAGTAGAACATTAGCTTTATTTGGGTGACTGACAGGTTTGCACCTTGGAGAAGGGGGGACATCCCTCACAGCATGAGACCATCCAGAGGTGGCAACCACTCAGAAGGGGAAATGGACAGAGAATCTCACAGGTGGTCAAAGAGGGACCTACAGTTCAGTAGGGAGTCTTTCAACATATAGAGCTCCAAGGGACAGCCACAGCTTGGGGTCTCTAAAGCCCCAAAGTTTATCTTTCTCTGTGGTCATTTTTGCAAAGTGTGTAAAGCAGGGAAACGTTATATATGATATTTGGGCTTATTAAAAATGACTGGCTGTGTAAATTTTGAATTTGGCACTAGAAAGCTTTTGCTCTAATGGGACCCTGGTTGCTGTGAGGAAATAACACAAGGGCCAGTATAAAGAGCCCATCGTTGCTAATTTTTGTAACACACTGCAGCCATATCTTGTATTGCTTTATATGCCCAACACTCGGCAAAATTCCCAGCAAATTGCAGCGACTCAATTATAATTAATAATATTGGAAGGAATTCATGAAGGAAGGAAGGGAAGGAGGAAGAAAAGAAATCAAATATGTTCTTGATTTTACATTTCTGTGTTTATTTTTCTTTACTGTATATGTTTGTATTATAGGAGATAGTAAAAAAAAAAGTGAATTATATGTCTTGTGTTATTTCTGATAACTATTCCATTTAAACTTTAAAAAAAAAAACATTAGTTTGAAATTTTATTTGCACAGGCACATACTAATTCTAAAATGCCCAGAGGAGATGTAAAATATAATGTTTCATTGGTTGATTTTAATTATCTGGTTTACACAAAATGTTCATTACAGACAGCAATGCAACAGAAGAAGAGAAGGGCTGGGTGAGGATCTTACAAGCTCTTTGAGTATTAACCCAATTTACAAGGTAGCAGAAACTCTTTTCACCAAAGGAACTCAGTCAATGTTCGAATGGTCTTTGTAGGGTACCTTAAAATGAGTAAAAAATTCCTCTTTTTTACCTTCTAGGTACAGGACAGGGTTGTTTGTTTTCTTAAATGTGATGCACATCTTTTTAAAACAGTTTGCTGCCTCTTGAAACAGCTCTAGGGCAAGGTCTAGTCTATATCTGTTCGTCAGCATGAATCTGGCTCCTTGAGATGCAGCCTCAGTCTCTGTATGAATAACTTGCAGAATTTCATAGAAGTAACTAGGACTGTACCCCTCATTCATTTGTTCTCTTTTGTGTATGATTTCCTTAACCAATTTTATAATTTGAGCTGTTGTCTTGCTTATGATATTTTTTTCAAACTCTTCCACAGAGATTCCATATGCTTGGGACTTTTGAGAGGTCATAACATGTTTAGAGTAATTGATACAAAATGTTTTCTTTGTATCACGATACCTAATTCTGTTCACAATATTGGGATGTTGTTTAAAGTGTTCCAGGAGAATGTTCTCTAGCTCAATATCGATATCAGGAGCCTCAGCAGATGGGAGTGTAGGAGGCAATAGAATGGAGATGTTCTCTGACCAGACCTTATTGAAAAGATCTCTCAGCTTATTATCTTGTAGCTCTTTCCCTTCAATTTTTTCTAATAACTTATGTTTAAATTTTATTTCATGCTCCTTCCAAAGGTCTTGTATTTTCTTTCCACTCATTAAATCCTCACATTTTTTCATAGTTTCTATGGTAAGCTCCTCTTTAAGAGTCTTCAAATCATCTCCAAATCTTTCTTTCCACTGAGCTAAGATATCTCTCTCTCTGTCTTCTCGAAAATACCTTTCAAGTTCTTGTTTTATGGCTTCATGTTTTTCCACAAGTTGATTGTCAATCAAAGTTCTCTTGATCTGCTCAGCTTCTCCATTTTGAACCTGGTTGGTCAGCTGACTATTCAAGTCCAGCACATGACTTCTTAGCTCCCAGGTCCATCTGTTGTACATGGTCTCCAGTTTATTCATAGCCACGACCTCCTGGGTGTTCCTGAACCTGAAGATGAAGTTTTCATTCACTAAGGCCCTCCATAAATGCCCTATTCGAGCTTTTAGTTCTGATATCTTCAAAATACTTCCCCTGGATTCTTCTTTGGCATGTTTAAGAATCCTGATTTTTAGCTTTTGACCATTGCAGCTATAGCGGGGATTCACAGGGGCCATTGAGGGAAAACCTTCCCAGAGGTGAAGAAAGTAATGGATGTAGGTCTCAACATCAATCTTAATGACATCACTGAAGTGAGATACATCTGAGCACTGCTCATGTTTGGCTGCGGCAAGTGTCATTTCATTCAACCTGTCTTGCAGCCACCTTCTCCTTTCCATGCTTTGTTTTGTATCTATAATTTCTTCTGTGTTCTGATGAACAAACAGGCATCCTGGAGAGATATTCAGATGTTTCATCCTGAGAATGGCATGAATGGCTATTTGCAGAATGTCGTTTATTTCTGATAGATCTTTCCCAAAAATATTGATGAGAGTTAGGTTTCCAAGCCCAGTGACAAAGGTTGCCAACTCATTGTCCTCACTATGTGCTTTGTTAGTCAGCTCTGAAGCTCGAAGTCCTTCTGTGTCTACAACAAGCACAAAATCAAAGCCCAGCTCTTCCCTGAGCAACTCTTCCACCTTCAGAAGCTGCATGTAGGCACCCCGGGTGCACCTCCCTGTACTGAAACTGAACTGCAGCCCAAACATTGCATTCAGCAGAGTTGACTTTCCTGAGCTCTGCAGGCCCAGGACAGAGAGAACAAATACCCGTTTGTCTCCAAGTTTCTCAGAGACCTTATCAAAAACAGCTGCCACCCACTTTAGAGGCACATAAGATGCATCCCCATCCATCAGCTCAATGGGAATACCAGATATCATCAGGTCAGCAGCCATTTGGGGAAGGGAAAGAAAGAGCTGTATTTGTTTGGGAGGAAGCTTCTTGTAGAGCTTTATTGATCTGGCCAACTTCTCTCAGGAGATGTTTAATTCCCAGGGTGGAGTCACTAATCTCTTTGGTAATAGCATCTAGTTCAGCCTCCCAGAGTCTGAGGAAATCTCTCTTTGACTTCTGCTCCTTCTCTGTTCTTACCTGAGCCAACAGGAAACTGTGCCTCTGGTGGAGGTTTTCTAATTCTCTAGTAGTTAGTTGTTCTATTAGCATACTCAGGCCCTGCAGAAAGTACAGCTCTTGTGGGTCTCTGGGTATGACTGAAGACTTTTAAGGAAGGACTTTATCAGTTCACAAAGGTTAATAACTTTGTGATATCGTTCACAGGTGTTTTCTGCTTTTCCTTCTCAATCTCATTCTTTTATTTTTCAATGCTCCTCTTTCTTTTTTCTCTCAGCTGATGGAGTTCCTTATCCTTCTTACACCAATCATGCCATAGACCTCCCTGAAGAGGTAGTAACTTTTCTTTTATCTCAGATAATTTCACTTTTCTCAACATGTCCATTAGGATATTAGGTTATTTTTTCTGCTTCTTGACAGGCTCCTTGGTCTTCATCAATAGTAAATTCATACTTCCTAGCCATGTTGGCCCAGTCACTCAAACTGTGAGGTGATCCGGACTTCTTCAGCAACTGTGTTAATATAGCTGTAATTTTGTCAGCTAATTCTATCTTATTTAGATCCTTGATCCCAATTCTCACTTTGTGGACAGGATTCTCATCCATAATATTTTCTACATTTTCAAACAAACAGATGAGAGGTTTGGGTGACTTCCAAAATTCATGTAGAAGGGAACTTTTCATTTTGTCAGAATCAGAAGTTGGCAGGAGAATGACAGTGACTGAAGATACCTCTTGTAGGAACCTAACCTGCTTCTCATGTATTTCAGCATTTCCATGGAGATTGGTGAAGGCAATACAGTTTTCAAACCTGTCCTCAGCTCTCCCACCTGGGCAGAACCAGCAGATTTCCACCATACCCTCTGTCAATAGACGTCTGTTGTTGTCTTCCCTAGAATGACGGTGGAAAAAATGGTCATGTTTGCCATTACTGAGGAGTGAATTTAAAATCTGTGATTTGGAAGTAGAGACATAATTTCCAATCCTTATGAAAGACACAGTGTGTGTAGGTTTCCAGCTGATCAGCTGGTTATTATAATTCTTAATTTTTTTCTCCCATCCTATTTTTTCCACTTCTCTCCAGCTTCTCCTGATTTGCCTGAGAGACCAAAGAGGAAATTCTACTTGGGGATTGCAAGGACTGGGCACCAAAAGTGGGAGCGCAAATTGACTAAAGGAGAGTTAGGTCAAAATATACTGTCTTGTAAGGGAATCTGCACAGTGAAAAACTGCCATCTGGATGTCCATTGGGTGGGTGCAAGTTTGTGTTGTAGTTGATTGTGTTTTCTAGATAATGAAAAAGTCCTCAAATGTTCTTTCTAGTTCTGTGCTTTTCAGTGTCTGGGGCACCATAGATATTGTATCTATAGTGCCTCTATAAACTAGGTACCGCAAATGACATTCTAATATCAAAAGTTTCTCTAGAAAACAAAATGGTAGCTCCCTGTCAGCTTTTGGTTGTGTGTCATGGATGGAGGTGTTATTTACCAAAAAAGTATTTACTTTGGTCATTTTCTTGGGATAATAACTTTCCAGATTAAGCCGCCTGATTAGGTTAAGAAAGTCTGGATTTGGGGCTGTTTCTTCTCTATCATTGCTTGATTGATGATCTCTGGAACAAAAAGCAGATTCATTGGGTGTTTGTTGGTTTTTTTAAACATATTTCTAAGTTTCTAGAAAGAAATAAAGACAATGATAATGACTGTTGTCTCTGTAACAAAGAGTCTTGATTAAGGTAATCAATTATGAATGCATAAATATATTCATAAGTTTTCCAGAAATAAATAGAGTCCTTCTAAGTTTTAGGTAGTGGGTTAATGAGGAGATGAAGTATAATATTGGCTTCCACACTGAAGAGCATACCAGTTAACTGTGATAGACATAAATAAGTGAGTAGGTCCCGTCAGTGTGGCTCAGTTGTTGAGCATGGACCCATGCACCAAGAGGTTGCCAGTTCAATTACTGGCCAGGACATATGCCCAAGTTGTGGGCCCGATCCACATTTCGGGGCATGCAGGAGGTGGCCAATCAATGTTCTCTCTTATAGACGTTTCTATTTCTCTCTCCCTCTAACTTCCTCTCTAAAATCAATAGTGTGTGTGTGTGGGGGGGGGGGAGTAAGTAGTTAATTATACTACACTATAATGGAAGACATAAATAAATGGTAGCAAGTTCAAAATGCATTGGCAACACATTTGAAGAACTGATTAGATATGCTTGGGATGCAAAGTGAGAGGAGGATTTACTGAACTGACGTGACATATATTCATGGAGTGGGGATTGGAGGAGAAGATAATTTTAAAAGAAATAGAAAGATAATTAGCACAGGTAGTTACTGTGTTCATCACTTTACATATGCCATATTACTGAATGAATAGGATTTTCTCAGGCAAAGTCATAGGTGGGTGGGGGTATCTTAGATATTGAGGAGAGGAAGCGCAGGAAAACTGAAGTTTGAATATGTATAAGAAACAGAGCAATCGAGTATATATGAGCAGAAGCAGAAAATGAAGCTAGTGAGGAAAACTGAAAGAAAAATAAATTGGTTCCCATTTAGTAACCATCAATTTTCATAATGCCCTATTATCATTATCATTCCCACTTTGGAGAAGAAAGACTCATAGAAATCAAGCAAATGCCTGTGGTTACACAGGAGTGACAGAAGTCTTAGCCAGACCTGTCTGGGATCTTGCAGGCACATTGGTGCTAACATGAAAGGACTCTGCCATACCATAGGACATGGAAGCCAGTAAGCCCCTGAGATTCTGAGTATTCTATGGCCTGGAAACTCTGCTCTCTTCCAGGGCAAAAGTATCTGCTCCAGGGGTGATCACAAACCTTTGACAAAACATTGTGATCTACATCTGGTCCTGCTTCATTCTCTTGCTTCCTCTTTTTGTCTTTTTTGCAGCTTTATCTGTGGAAAATCCAGCTTTGAAAGAACACAAGATTGATTATTATCTTGATTATTAATACCTGGAGTCAAAATTGCAGTGTTGTTGAAGCTTAGTCTGTTCCCCCCTGCAAACGTTAGTTTGATGCCAACAACTTAACATCACTATGTTCAACATTAGTGTCTATTTCTCAGGGGTGACTCAAGAAAAGACATGGGTGTTTTATGTTATGTGAATAATTAGAAAATAAGATCACCTGTTTTATGAGCTGAGAGGTATGGGGTACAAAAATGACACAGCATGATAGTGATCAAATAAGGGTCATGGGTCAAAGTAACTGGGGTATTGCTGATAACTAGCTGGTAAGAGTGCTATTCACATAGAAATCTCAATCATGATAGGAGATAGAGGCAGGCTAGGCAGTTCAGGAAGAGACCACGGAAAGGGTAATGAAAGAGAGAACCTTGTAAACATTGCCAGGATGCAGTTTGCCTGCGGAAATTACATCCTGTGTAAAAATAAGATTATTTAAAGCTGGATGCAGCTGGACAGGAAACACAAGCTAAGACAGAATTCTTTGCAAAAACCAATCAAAAGATAGCAATGCATATACCTATCCCTAGACAGAGGAGCCTTACCAGCAACCCCCTTGGGTCCCCTCCCCCCTGCAGGGCATCTGTCTACCTTCCAAATAAAAGTTTCCTTTTGCTTGCTCCTTTGTCCATGAACTCATTCTTCCGTTTTGTGAGAAAACAAACTCGAACCTGAACACCGCCGCTTGGTTTCAGTAGCACATTGACTGACTAGGAAATGGTGAGAATGGAGAGGGTGGGATGGCTCTCCATGAAGTAACTAGGTTTTCTTCATTTCCGTATTTTCAAATTCACTGAGAAAAAATATCCAAATGAAACTGTAACAGAGTTTTTACAAAAGAAACTTCCATAAGGATGATCATTTGTGTGTGCTAGAAATGGTGATTTAAAGCAGTCAAATGATTCTTCCATATCACTCCCAAAATGTTGAGCATCCTGTATATCAGCCCAACATATTTCTAGGCTCTTCACAGATTATTCCTGAATCTCCTCTTTTTCATGTGATAATTAACCTTAGAACAAAATGAGAGATACAGGCTGATGGAGTTTAAAATTTGGATGAGAATAAGGTTAGTATCCAGCTAATGAACAATGTTGAGGGGGTCAGAATGACAGGTTTGTGGGCATATTTTGTAGCGAAGTAGATCAGTCTGTGGCTAGGACTGCGAGACTTCACCATCACCAGTGGTAGAGCTAAAGGACATTAGTCTTCATAGCAAAAAGGCCTGTGAAGTTTCCTGCATAAGAAATAGAAAAAAATACTTTACCTCAGTACACATTTTAGAACATCAAACATAAAGATCCTAATATCATCTGGGGGGGGTGATATTATATTGTCAACAGACCACTGACAAAATAATCAGGTTGTCATTAGACTCATTATCAGTAAGTAACAGAAGACAGTTACATAATTCTTTGAAAAATATAAGGTAAAAGGATATTCACCTTGAGCCAGTTACCTTCAAGTTTGAGAAGAGACTGAAGTTATTTCCAGAAAGTAACAACCTTTACATACCTTTCTTAGGAAGCCACCTGGAGACAGTTAAGAAACAAATGGGTAAATAAAGGAGTTCGTTAACTTGATAGGATATTTGAGATATTGGAAGAACAAAAGGATGTGATGAATACACACAATGTAAAAAAATATGGTAATGAGAAATTTTCATTAAAGCAAAAGAAAATAATAATATATATAATATGAACTCTATTTGATTTTGTTATGACTGAAATTTACATATGTATAATAGTAAAATAATTTATTTTCAACTTTAAAAATTACTATAAATAAAAGTGGAAAGATTTTTATTATGATTCTAAGAAGTGAAAATTTTCATCTTGACCATGTAAAAGTAAGAGTATTTGAGGGAGTTTTGAGATACTGCCTCTCATAATGGACCAAATTAAGAAGTTTTAAAAATAAAATTTAAATGTAATTTGTATACAAACTAAGAATACTGCTATAAATCTATCTGGAAGAGAGTGGGTTTTCTTTTACCTAGTACACTGTGTACAGCTTTGGCAAGTTATAACACATACTGAAAACAAGCAAACAAAAACACAGTTTGAAGATACAGAACAAGCATCAGAATCAAATTCAGGCATGGTGAGATGGAATCACACTGGAATTTTATTTCAATAAATAATGTTTAAAAGCTCCATGACACACAATTCTTTTTCTATTTTATGCTTACAATGTGTATTCAATTAATGAAGATGTAAAGATTTCAGGAAAAGTCTTGAGTCATATCCAGCCAAGAGAGGGGTAGGTTAGCTGTAGACTCACATTTTGCCATTGCCTGACAGAACTTCTCAGCCAGGTAGCGCTGGTTTCTGGCTTTCAGGACCTCCTGGGTCACAGTCTTGGAGTACTCATCCCCGTGGAACTGTAAGAGTATGTCAGCAAGTTTCCCTGGGGATGCTTGATGGAGAGTGCTCCGAGGCATGTAGTTGTATCCCTCAGCAAGAGCTATGTTTGTGAGCTGGAATTTGAACTTTACAAACTCTTCCTCTAAAAGGTCCTCAAGGATGTTAAGAAGAGTTGCCTTGAATTTGCTTTCCATTCTGTGCAGCTGAATGCTGGGAAACTGATGGCCCTGCCGTTACCAGTCTGAAATGGACAGATGGTTATGGATGATCACAGGAATGATGGGAAACACCTATGAGGCAAATGGTGAGAAAGAAATGAGGCAAAGTGGTGGATATGAGTTCAGAGACTGTCTTCCTGGAAAAAAAATCTGAGCTGCCAAATATGAGCTGTTAATACACATTCTTACATTTAGGACATTCCTCAGAGCTTAGGGGCTACTTACCTTGCCCTCTCACCCCCCACAATTGCAGTCCACTGCTGGAATTCCCAAGATTTTCTGCTAGATGATGTCTGTTTGTGGGGAATAGAAGGAGATAGGGGTCTTATGGAGGTCTGTGTTATGCTGAAAAAGGAAGGAGAAAGGGAGCCATGTTATTATTCAGTGGGTAGAAATAAAACTAAGTGCCGCCCTGGCCAGGTAGCTCAGTTGGTTAGAGCATCGTCCCGATATACCAAGGTTGCGGACTCCCCGTCAGGGCACAGGGCACATACATGAATCAACATATGAATGCAAAAATAAGTGGAATAAGAATGGATGTTTCTGTCTCAGTAAAAATTTTAAATAAAAAATGCTTTTTTGAAAAGTAAGTGCATTATGGACAGGGATGCTGAGTAAAAATTTAAAAGAGAATTGAAGACATTTATACTTCCTTTACTAATATGTGTTGGGTAGATTGGGAGGGATAGTAACAGATTCAATTTGCATATGAAAATTAGTATAAATCGTAGGGATATGGAAAATCACTTTTCTGATACCTTTGTAACTATAGGCTCCTCAACCTCTTGCTATGTGTCTTAGTCCTAAAAAATAACTTTTTTAGGTATGCAAGTATTTGAACATAATGCCATTATTATCACCACCATCTATTATATCAGCAATACCACTGTATTCACCAATCTATCTCATTTCTCTCCATCAAAACCCTGTCTATTCTTTAAGTTAAGATAAAATGCCATTTCCTTTCCAATGTCTGTTTTGGTTTTCTCCAAAAGTTGTAATTCTACCTAACTTTCAACAATACCTATGACACTTTTATTTTGTCTTGTAATTGTACTTATCTACATACTTCATTTATTTTCCTCTGTTAGAAAACACTGTTAGTTAAATGTATTGAACATCGTTCACATTGTGGGCAGGTTGTTTTGCATACTTCATCTCATTTATTTTTAACAAATGAGTCAATTAGAGAATTTTATTTTATGTTTAATTTTTATTTATTTTTCTTTATTGATTTTAGAGAGAGCGGAAGGGAGAGGAAGATAGAGGTAGAAATATCGATGAAAGAGAACATCAACTGGCTGCTTCCTGCATGCTCCCCACTGGGGATGTGGCCCACAACTTGGACATGTGCCCTGACCGAGAATCAGAGCAGCGACTTCTTGGTGTGTGAGTCAACGCTCAACCACTGAGCCACACCAGCTGGGTGAGAGATTTAACATTTAAACAAGAGAATGACACTATCTGGTTCAGCTTTAGAAAGGTCACTGTTTTACTTGGATGAGGATGGAGAATAGAAATTACCAGGAAGGAGCACTGGTAAAACAGTTAACAGAATGTTACAATGGTTTAAAGAAGATGGTGACTTGGACTAAGGTTTTAGCAAGAAAGATAATGAGCAAACTCCCATTCAGAGTTTATCTTATTGGCATAGCAACTGGGATTATCAATGGATTTGTTATGGGTATAAAAGAAAGTGAAAACAAAGATGATATATATAGTAAGCAGGATACTCAGATGTACCACCTGTTTACATGCCTTGTATGGAACCTTTTCCTTTAGTGTGTGTAGAACTGATAAATATGGGATATCACCTCTGTAATTATGTTATCTTATGTGGCAAAAGAGAGGTTATCCTGGATGGTCTTAATTTAATCCAGTAAGCTCTTAAAAGAGACAAGAAGCAGCAGCAGGTGTGCTCCTACTCATCCGAAGAGAGCATGTTGCAAACTACCTGGGTGGGCCATGTGATAGACAGTAAGAAAAAGGAGATTTCAATCCTACATCTGCAAGAAGTTGAAAGCTGCTAATAACTTGGAAGAAGACTCTGAGCTCCAGGTGAGAACTGCAGCATGGCCAACAGTTTGATTGAAACCTTTTGAAATCTTGAGCAAAGGACCTAAGTCAAACCTGACTCCACCCATGAAATAATAAAATGGTATTGTTTTAAGCTGCTAAGTTTTCTGGTGATTTGTTATTCAGAAATTGAAAATTAATGCAGATGATTTCTAGGGTTTTGACCTGAGCAAATAGGTTGATGAGGGGGTCATGCTTTGATATGGTCAATGTTTATAACACAGGCAGTTTGAGGTTCACATTTCATTTGTAATACCAATTAGGCAGATAAGTGAAGATGGTAAGTTGACTAAACTGGGGCATACCTTTTAAAGGATGGGTACAGTTTAGAGATGTTGATTAGAGAGTCATCTGTGTATAGTATTTAAAGGCATGGGACTGGTAAGCTAGGCTAGGGAAAAAGTACAAATAGAGAAGAAAGAAGGACCTTGGAGGTGAGCAACATTCCAACATTTAGAAGAGGGGAAAAGGAGAACAAAGGAAGCATCATGGAGGAGGAGATGGGGAATGAGACACATTTGGGATTCCTGAAGCCTGTAGAAGGAAGTGTGTCAAAAAGGAAGGTGTAATAACCATGTTAAATGCTTCTGAGAGGTCACGAGGATGCGGATAGAAAACTGGTCATTGTATCTTCTAAGATGGAAGGCACTGATGACCTTGATAAAGCTATTTTCATGGATGGGGGGTGGGGGTGGGAAAGCCCAACAAAAGTGGGTAACGAGAAAATTTGAGGAGGTAGAGTCAGATAAATCTTTTAATATTTTTTTGCTCTTAATATAGCAAAGGAGAGGGACAATCGCAGGAATGGACCATGTGCTTAAAAAAGTTTTGTTTATGTGTTTGTTGTAGGTATTGGTAATATCAAGACATTTGGTAGGAATGGTCCAGTAGGAAGGGAGACATGTTTGATGAAGGAGATTGTATTAGTTTCCTATTGCAGCTATAAAAAATTATCATAAACTCAGTGGTTTAAAACAACAAAGATTGATTGTTAATTAGTTCTGGAGGCCAGAATTCTGCCATGAGTCCTATGGGGCTAAGGTTGAGGTAGTAGCAGGGGTGGTTCCCTGGAATGAGCTGCAGGAAAAATTCTCTTTCTTGCCTCTTCTAGCTTCTGCTGGCACACCTTGGCTTGTGACCGCATAATTCCAGTTTCTACTTCTGTGCTCGCACTGCTATCTCCTCTTTCATAACAAAAACTCTATCTGCCTTTCTCTTGTGTGATCATCTTTAGGGCCTTCTTGGATAACTCATAATAACCCCCCCCCCATCCCCAAATCCTTAACTCAATCACTACTGCCAAGGCCTTTGTGCCATATAAGGCAAACTTTACATGTTCCAGGGATTAGCACGTAAATATATTTTGGGGAGGGGCTTTATTCATCTTATCATAAAGGAAAAGAAAAAATTGCAAGGAAGAGAGACACAGAGAGAGAAACACACACAGAAAGAGAATGAATGTTTTGATCCAAGTAGGAAATGGTGAGGGTCAGAAATAAAACTCTGTTAGAAAAGACAGAGAAAAAAATTATAGAATTAAAGCCCTATAAAGGTTTAAAGCAGCACGACTTTTAGTTTGTTTATATTTCTTAATGGAGGAAAATAAAATTTACATAAAAGAATAGGCACAAATGTTAAGAATACAATTAGATGGCTTTTGAAAAATGTACACACTCCAGTGAGCAGGCCTTTTTTATTGTCTGTGGAAATGGGCTTGAAGGTCGTTCCTAGGTTTATACCTAACCGAGTAATTTACTGAGATGGGAAACTACAAAGTATAGGGCAGATCTGGGTGTGGAGGAAGAAGATTGATTCAGCTTTGATACATTGTGTTTGAGATTAATACAATGGTTAACATGGGTGCTTTGTATTTTCTAGGCACTCTTCTAATCAATTTACATGTATCATTTAATTTGTTACTTATAACAATCTTATGAGGCAAATATTATATCTGTATCTTGTAGATAATAAATCAGAGACATAACTTGTTCAAGGTTCTATGACAACCTGGTTCTAGAACCACTGTTCTTAACTACTACATCAACATCCTTCTGGAGATGCCTACTATTAAGGTGGTTACACAGTCCTGCCTTTCAGAAACATGTCTGGCCTGAAGATTTAGATTAAGGAATCATCAGCATATAGATAATAGTCAAATCATAAAAATAGATAAAAATCACTCAGGGAAAATATGTTAAGTGAGGCTTAGTAGGCCAAAGGCTTTAATTTATGCAGAGCTGATACTCAGCTGTTAGGTTGTGAAATGACTTTATCAGCTATTAAATACTGAAATACAGTGCTTTCATACAGGTGCATATAGATTCTTCATTGACCCCCAGATACCTGACTGCCTTGGTTTCCCAGGCTCTGAAGAGCCCTGGGTAGGCTCTGCCAAGGACTATTCATTATTTTATCTTTTAAATAATCATTTATTACACATGTTTTATGCTGCTATGGCAGTTGCTGGGAAATAAAAGAGAAATTAGATAGCTTTGCCAGCCTTAGGAAATTTATGAAGAATGGTAGACACAATGATGGCACAGATATAATTAAGTTTGAATACAGTTATTTTATGAGGTGTAGGAGTCCAGAGGATGCAGGAATTGTTGTCATTCATTAAATTTATTTAAAGCATTCATTCAATATGTATACAGAGCTATTTTTAAGCATCAGGCATATGCCAGGCAATGTATGTTGGAGAGGGAAAGACTTTTCAGACAAAATTCATTCTTCAAGTGCTCAGTATCTGATGGAGGACCTGAGCACAGACCTCTTTTGCTATTGTGTTTCAGGACAAAGGTATGTACAGGTAGAGAATACAGTTTTGCCAGTCCCTTCGACAATAACAACTAAAAATGGGCCCAGGCTTCAGTGAGTTCATAGAAAGCATTCCTATATAATCTATAGGAATTTCTGACTTTCATGGGAAATTAATTTAGGTATTATCTAGGCAACCCTTTTCACAGTTATGAAATCTAGGACCTAGAGGTAGTCTATGATCAGCTTATTTCACACAACATGTTAGTGGCTGAGCCATGTGTCCAGCCCAGTCTCTGAGTCTGTCCAGAGACCTCCCCTCAGGCACACACTGTCTCAGAATGACCCATGTTGAGCTCAGAATGACCCATGTTGCAGTTGCACTTTGGTCTTTGTGTGTTTGTGTTACCAGTGATAGTTCAGCCTTGCAGTCCTTGATGAAGAATCCCTCCCTCAGTTCCTAAATTTGAGCAAAGAGCCCTGAACCATGTACTTAAAGCAGGACCT